TGTCTGTTTCTGTAAATTATAAGTTGACACTACTAGAATATGGTTGATTGAGCGCATTTTCGGAGTGAACGAGTTCATCGCTGCAAGCGTCGTTTTGCGCTTCTGCACACACATTTTCGCAGTGCTTCGTGCGAAAGCATGCTTACTTTCCGGTACTTCCTAGAGTGTGCTGCCTTAAAACCGAGGAAAGCAGTTGAGGGAGATGCTCCAGTGAAGCATGCGCTGTTACAGGGCTTGCTTACGGTGCTCGAGTACTGCTTGGAACATTCCGCATCAAGTTATTCTTGCTTCGAGCAATTTATCAATGCTCTTGGCTACAATACAGTTCAATTCTGGCGATACGCAGTGCCGTACATCTACGACTCGGACCTCACCTATGGCACCAAATTCCGCGACTCGCTACTTTTCAGCCTCACACTGTTCGACGTCAATAATGGCAAGAGTAAACTCAGGTGTGAACCCTTCTCTGCTGTCAAAGACGCCACCTTAAAAATGAGGCTGCCAAAAGCAGTATTTGCCATGCAATGCGTTGTTCGCTCGCGCAGGAAGTTATCTGTGCGTTTTTAATCGTTTTATAAAAAAAGTTGGCATTTTTTAAAATAAATGGTTCAGAGAAGAAGCAGGAAGAGGTACTGCTCCAATGAGGAACCGAGAAATTTCTGTGACCGTTTCTTCTCAGGCAGTGTAGCTGTCTGCAATCATTCATTATCAGACATCCAGAACTGTTCTGAATAAGTGCGAGTTTAAACAAAAAATTGACTGAGTTCAATGAAAAAAGCGTTTAATTCAGAGATTTTTTGTGCGCACCAGCGCGCTCACTTCGTAAATCTAATTGAAAAACGTCATATTTTTATGTAATCTGGGAAACATTGCGAGTAATAGGGATAAATGTGAATCCCAAATCAGGATATTGCCATGAGTAGGCGAAACGAACATCAGGGTTGCTAGCAAGCTACTAACAGATGATGCAGCATTGGTCAAAGTAGCCAAACGAATTGCTAGCTGGGTTGTTGGAAAAGGAAACCTATAATAAGGAATAAGGAACCTGTAATACGA